TTTTTTTTGTTAAATGTCACTTTTATTTCATTAATTTATTTTACACATAATCTTTCAGTCACCTGAGAGTGCACAGTTGGGAACATCTCTGCATTCTGCGCTTTACCAAAGATTCTTTACATGAAGGTGTACAACAGCATAGCACATATCATCAAATAAAAGATACAAAAACATCACAAGAACATAAGGTCAAGGCCAGGCCATATAGCCTCTCGACACTTGAGGAGATCATGGTTGATTTGTGATCCAACTCCATACAACAACCTTCACCCAGCATCCTTTAATATCCTTAGCTAATAAATTCGATCAACGTCAGAGTTAAAATATACTAATCTCTTACTCTTGAATTGATAAGCAAGTTACATACACAATTCTGAAATTAAACACATTTTTAATAGTCAAACAATACTGTCAATACTATTTGGGAACAGCAGCCTACATTACATTTCAGGTTATATTTTCTTCACATTCTCCCAGCAATGAGCAGTGTACAAGTCACAGGACATTCAGTCTTAATTTTCTAAAGGGATTTGGACATATAAATAAAAATAATTGGTTTCCTGGTAATTGTAGAAGTCTGGGACTAATTGTATAGCTCCTTCACACCTCATCCAACAGCACAAAATGTGCTAAAACGTCGTCATTTGCGCTGTGTGATTCTATGATCTAAGGTTTTCAGCAAAGTATGAAATTATGTTGTGTCTGCTCTAGAGAAACACTTAATAATAGAATATATCATTAATTGTGTTTGTCTAGCAATGACAACAAGTGATTGTCGGGTCAGAAACTTATCTTACCAATGATTAAACCATTCAGATCAGGAAAGTGCCAAGTTCAAAGCTTGTTGGATTAGCTGATCTCAGCTTTGGCAGCAGGTGCTCAGCACTAATGGGTTACAGCAAGCAAATGAGCTAGAAATCCTACTCCTAGTGAAAGTGTAGCTGTGCACATTTTATGTGGTAAGCCAGAAATCATCTCAATCGCAATGTATCCTTCATGGTTTACTGAAACTCTCGGGTCGCTAATGGCCTCTTGGGTAGGGGACTGGAAAGTGCAACAAATTATGCCTCAGCAAGAAATGAATATGCTCATGAGAAAAATATTAATATATAGAAACCATTTAATTATGTATCAGTCTCTGGTCTTTCATTTTTATATCGCCATCTTGTGGACACCTGCATTACGAAAGACTTACAATTATATTGCACTTTTCATAACCTGAGGAAATCCCAAAGCACATTTTATTTATTTTTCTCTATTCTTTTATGGAAAGTGGCTATCACTGGAAAGGCCAGCAATTTGTTGCCAATACATAATTGCTCTCAAACTGAGTGGCTTGCTTGGCCATTTGAAAGCGTAGTTCAGAGCCAGACTGAATAAGATCAGTAAACTTATGATCCCACCATTTATCTGGCTCTCTGGATTATTAGTCCAGTGACAATACCTTAAAAAGTTTTGAAGAACAACCATTGTTGTAATGTAGGAAGATTGGAGTTAATTTGGGTACAGCATAGCAATTGGTAACGGTCAGACAAACTGTTTCAGATGTATCTTTGCTGTGGGAACTTGTACATTCACCTGAGAAAGCAAACAGGACCTATGTTTATCATTTAAATTAAAAAGTGGTACCACAACAATGTAGCATTCTCTTAGTACTACACAAAATTATCCGTGTTCATTTTTGATATTGAGTGTCTAGAATTAAACTTAGATCCAAAATCTTGTGACTCAAAGACAATAATGCAACAAAATGAACAGTGGCCATCACCATGCTGTTTGAATTTACAATTAAAAAGCTGATACTTTTATAGCCTGACATTAAGAGGAAGGGATTTATAATTATGCTTGTAGAATGGTATTTCCAGTCAATGTGCAGAAGAATGACATCAATGATGACATCTGAAACCACTTCAAAGCCCATCCAATGGGACAGAGTTAAAATCAGACTGCAAAATGTATTTGGATATTCAGTAGTCAACTTACATGGAGAATGATGATCATGCAGCAGTAAATACTTTTTTGATTTGATTTATTGTTGTCACATTGGACTTTGGATGGTATTAGAAAGCTGGAAACAAACTGAATTTAAGCATTTTCATTGGAGGGAGATACAGGACAGAGTCCAATCAGTTCTCCACGGAGAGAGGTGAAGAAGGAAACAAGTCTTGCTGTTGCACACCTATTGGTGATTAGTTAGGAGAAGTATTGGATGAATGTTTGAAACATGTTGCTTGATCATTCTTGGTTTCCCATAGAAATTTGGTTAAAACACATCAATCTGACCCCACTACCAAAGACATTTTGCCCTCCCCACCCTTATCTGCTTTCCGGAGGGACCACTCTCTCCGTGACTCCCTTGTCCGCTCCACACTCCCCACCAGCCCCACTTCACCCGGCACTTTCCCTGCAACCGCAGGAAGTGCTGCACCTGCCCCTACACCTCCCCCCTCACCCCCATCCCAGGCCCCAAGAAGACCTTACACATCAAACAGATGTTCACCTGCACATCTGCTAATGTGGTATACTGTATCCCGTTGTGGTCTCCTCTACATCGGGGAAACCAAGCAGAGGCTTGGGGACTGCTTTGCGGAACACCTACGCTCGGTTCACGACAAACGACTGCACCTCCCAGTTGCGAACCATTTCAACTCCCCTTCCCACTCCTTGGATGACATGTACATCCTGGGCCTCCTGCAGTGCCACAATGATGCCACCCGAAGGTTGCAGGAACAGCATCTCATATTCTGCTTGGGAACCCTGCAGCCCAATGGTATTAATGTGGACTTCACAAGCTTCAAAATCTCCCCTCCCCCAACCGCATCCCAAAACCAGCCCAGCTCGTCCCCGCCTCCCTAACCTGTCCTTCCTCCCACCTATCCACTCCTCCCACCTCAAGCCCCATCCCCATCTCCTACCTACTAGTCTCATCCTGCCCCCTTGACCTGGCCATCCTCCCTGGGCTGACATATCTCCTCCCTAACTCCCCATCTACACTCCTACACTCACTTTACTGGCTCCAACCCCGCCTCTTTGACCTGTCTGTCTCCTCTCCACCTATCTGCTCCTTTATCCGCCTCTCCCTCTCTCCCTATTTATTTCAGAATCCCCTTACCCTCCCCCATTTCTGAAGAAGGGCCTAAACCCGAAACGTCAGCTTCACTGCTCCTCTGATGCTGCTTGGCCTGCTGTGTTCATCCAGCTCTACACCTTATTGTCTCAGATTCTCCAGCATCGGCAGTTCCTACTATCTCAGGAGCTAATGGAAGTATTTTCAAAATTGAGATTTAAGAAGAAAACAAATATTTATTTCAAAATGACATTGCAATTAACAACAATAATATACTTGCATTTCTACACAAGTTTTCCATTCCGATTTGAGGATTTTAGTGAAATTTTATTATTTGAACTCATGCATTGATCATCCAGACTGCTCTTCAGTTTTAAATTACAGCTTGGAAGGGACATCAATATAACTGAAAATTTGTTAGATAATCTTTTCTGTAATATTTGTACATGTGTGGATTAGATCGCTTGCAAACAGTGATGCTTTTTAGATTGAAGATCAAACCAGTAGATTACTGGTGGCACTTTCAGTTTGAATCAAATGATCATCACTTTATCAAGTCCCAGTCTAGTGACTTGAGCACAAAATCTCAACTGATACTTCCAAGGGAGTGGTGCATTGTCAGAGGTGTTGTTTTTCAAACAAAATGTTGAACAGAAGTCCTTTCTGGCTCTTAGGTGGATATGACAGGTATTGTTCAAAAAAGAGCTAAGGGGTAGCGGCGTACTGGTTGCTAATTTTGGAGCCAAAGTGTCCATCATTGGCCTTTTAAAGGGCGGCACGGTGGCTCAATGGTTAGCACTGCTGCCTCACAGCACCCGGGAGCCGGGTTCAATCCCAGCCTCGGGTGACTGTCTGTGTGGAGTTTGCACATTCTCCCCATGTCTGCATGGGTTTCCTCTGGGTGGTCCAGTTTTCTCCTGCAGTCCAAAGATGTGCAGGCTAGGTGGATTGGCCATGCTAAATTGCCCATTGTGTTCAAGGATGTGTAGGTTAGGTGGATTACAAGGAGATGGGTTTGGGTGGGATGCTCTGAGGATTGGTGCAGACTTGTTGGGCTGAAGGGCCTGTTTCCACACTGTAGTGATTCTGTGAATTTTACCATTTTCCTGATGAACATTTATCTTGAAGCAATTCTATTAATAAAGCCATTGAATTTGTCACTTATCTCACTGCAAATTGGCTGTTTCATCTCTGAACTGAAAACAAAAAATGCTGGAAATCACAGCGGGTCAGGCAGCATCCATAGAGATAGAGTAAGCTAATGTTTTCAAGTCTAGATGACTGTTCATCAGACCTCACAGGCTGCGATAAACAGTCATCTAGACTCGAAACATTAGCTTGCTCTCTCTCCATGGATGATGCCTGGCCCGCTGTGATTTCCAGCATTTTTTGTTTTTTGTATAGATCCCAGCATCTGCAGCAATTTGACCCTACAGGCCATTTCATCTCCCTGTGTTGCAAGGGACTGCATTTCAAAAATAGAGAGTACTTCAGTAGGACATTTTGATGGAGTGGACAATGCCATGTAAATCTAAGTTCCTTCTTGCGTGATCTTTATAAAACAATTTCATTAAAATTATGTGCTTTGGCAGCATAAATTTTCTGGCAACCAGCTCCAACTTCCTCTCCTCAGAAGTGTTTTAAGGGAAGTTTTCATAGATGAATACCCATCAATAAAAAGTACTCCATTAATTTGTACTCAAAGAAGAAGAACAAACTTTGCAGTGTAAAGCTATCCAGGTGTCCATCCTGATGCGTTACAGTCTTCAACAGAAGACAAAATAATAAAATATTAGACTGTGTGACTGACTGCTTTATTACCAAAATTAAACATCAAATACTGGAGTTTATTTAAATGTATTTGAAATAGCAAACCAGCAATTCAAATAATGTTGAAAAAAATTCAATTACCAATTGAGCAATTTATACTTACAACTTATGGAGCTACAGGTGTAAACACTGACTGGCCCACAGATGTTCTCATATGGATTACTGATGCTATTGTACAAGGTGACTATGGCACTTAGCAGTGTAAACAACAGTCCAAGCACAATGAATCGGATAACTAGGATGTGGATAACTCTTGCAGTGTTTGCATTTTAAAAACATTCCAAAACTGAAAGAAACGCACACAATAGGAGGCAGATGTTATGTTCAATATCTTGCAACACAAAACTCATGAAAACAATCATTCACTTTCTGCAATTTTTGAAGAGTTCTACACAATTACAGTTTGCCTGAAGGCATTAAACAAGTGAAATTTAAAATATTTAGCTGCTTATAATCCTTCCTTCAACAATGAAATACTTTGTAACTGCTACCTTGAGATAGCTATTATTTTGTTAATTAGCTTATTTGATCTGCAGTTAATTAGCTGTTATTTAAAACAATTGAAACAATCTTGTGATGCATGTTCCTGCTCTGAGATTTGGTGCAGAATTAGACCTATTATGACTGAGGTTGGATTGGTATACTGGCTCTTTTTGAGACCCACTCTTCACTGGTCATAACAGCTTTTAAATTTGAGCCAATTATATGGAGTTTAGACTATATCTGGTTTAGTTTTAGAAAAGAATTCAGTCAGGTTTGTCAACAAATAATAACCAGCTTTTTACAAATAAAACTTATTCAAACAAAAATGCAAAGGTTATTGCCAAAAAAGTACTCAGACTGTGCAAAGATAGGAATAACAAGGTGTAGAGCTGGATGAACACAGCAGGCCAAGCAGCATCAGAGGAGCAGGAAGGCTGACATTTCGGGCCGAGACCCTTCTTCAGAATTCATGCAACTCTACACCTTGTTATCTCAGATTCTCCAGCATCTGCAGTTCCTACTATCTCTGTGCAAAGATAGGTATGGTTTATATTCTAACATTTCAGACTTAATATAGAAACAAGGCACAAGAGGTGGCCAGTCAGCTCTTTGAGCCTGTTCTGCAATTCAATAGGATCATATCTCATCTGATTTTAACTTCAATTCTACATTTGAAAAGAATTAAAGATTCTGCATCCACTACATTTTGAGGAAGGGAATTCCAAAGGTTCACAACCCTCTAAGAGAAAGAAACAAATGTTGCCTCATCTCTATTTGAAATGGGTGACTCCTTATTTTTAAACTAAGACCCCAAGTTCCAGATTCTCCCCCAAGAGGAAACGTCCTTCCGACATCCACTCAGTTAAGCAATTAAGACACCTCTGACTCTTCTAAACTCATGAGGATACAGGCCGAGCTTGTCTAACCTTTCCTCATAAGGCGATCGCTCATTCCAGGTACTAGCCCAGTAAACCTTCTCTGAACTGTTTCCAATGCAATAACATCCTTCTGCAAATACAGTGATCACAGTGTTCCAGATGCAGTCTCACCAATGTCCTGTATTACTAAAGCATAATCTCCCTACTTGCATTCAATTCCCTTCGCAACAAACCATCACATTCTATTAGTTTTCCCGATTACTTGCTGTACCTCAACCTTCAGTGATTCATTAACCAGGACATCTAGGTCTCTCTGCACCTCAGAGCTTTGCAACCTCTCACTTAGATAATATGTTTTTTTAAATCCATTTTTCCAAAATGGACTATTTCCTAATTTCCCACATTATATACTATCTGCCAGATGTTTGTCCACTCACTTAACCTATCTATAATATTTTATCAACTTTGTCATTTTCCGACCTATCTTTGTGTCATTGGTAAATTTAGCTACCATACTGTCAATTCCTTCATCCATATCATTTATATTAAATCATATAAATTGAGCCAAATATGGTTACAAAAAAGCAAAACATAAGAAATAGCTAATGCAATCAAATAGATCCCACAGACTTCTCAGAGATCTGCTCCTTCCCAGACATTACCAGATCTCAATAAAATTTCACAATGGATCGCAATTCTTCACTTGAAATTCCCTCTAAGGCTGCTCATAATGAACTGCTTCAATGACTGCTTAAACTCTGGTGACTCACCTTCCTTTCCTGGGGCTGTGCTCCCTTGGATTGTTGGAGACTGCTTTTCAGCATTCACTCATAAATGCAATTTCACTTTTCACAAACAGCAAGCTCCATTAAGCCAGTACTGCCCTTGAATTTTTCCTCATCCCTAATACTGTGTAGTTTCTGAAAGCGAAAACTGCTTATTGTACATTTTCAAATCCCACTCACTGTTTTACTAAACTACTAATTGTGTACCAACTTCTTTAAAACCCTTCACTGCTCCTATGACTTCCCTGAGCATTCATCACACAGAGCTATTCAACTGCTCTAAGGCATCCCTGAGTTCCAACTACACAGAACCCTTGTAGATCAGTTGCTTTTAGCAGCACAGCTAACAACAATCCTGTCTAATATGGAATCTGCTTCTCTCTCTCTACACACACACATTCTGACATCCAGTTTCAGTGCCTGTCATCTTTAAATGCCTCTTTAGTGATGCCCAGAATGCCCTGAGTAACCTATTGAAAATTTTGCAACAAGCCCTGTATCTATAGCTCGGCAAAATTGGATGTAATTAATATTTTGGAACAGTCAAGTGTAGCAAACGCTTAGAACTCTGTTTCTTAACCATTAACATTTTCACAGAATGTTGGCTTACAGCACAAATTACATGCAACAAAAAACAAGAATTCATCTCAGTGGACTTAGTTATTGGAAATATAATTTGTTGTTTGTAACCAAGTTATAAAGCAGAGGATTCAATGACTAAAATGAAAAAGTAATCTTATATCTACCTCAACTGAATTAGTGGAATGTGTTTTTTTATAATTTGTCTAGTAGGTCATAAAAACGATTAAAAAAATCAAAAGCAACCTGCAACATGTTTGTTGTATTGTATTTGCTGGGGTCTAATTGATTAAATCCCTAATTCTAAAGCACATGGTTATTAAATTTAATCTTATTTCATATTTAATGGAGGAATAACAGAAATGCTTTTTCAAGGAGCATTACATTATTATCAATCACATATTCTAGAAAATAGGGTGAAAAAGACTAGTACCGTTACTAAGGGATCAAATGCCTACTGTGTTTCCACATATTATTAAGCTGCAGAGCGTTCAGAAGAGCCTTACCAGGATGTTGCTGGTTGTGGAAGGTTTGAGTTATAAAGAAAGGCTGGATAAGCTGGGACTTTTTTCACTGGAGCATAGGAGGTTGTGAAGTGACCTTATAAAAAATTATAAAATAATGAGAAGTATAGACAAGGTTAATGGTAGTTGTCTTTTCCTGGGATGGAGAATTTCAAGACCAGGGGGCACATTTTTAAGGTGAGAGGGGAGAGATTTAAAAAAGACATGAGACAATTTTTTATACACAGAGGGCGGTTCACGAATGGAATTAACTTCCTGAGAAAGTGGTGGATCTGGGTACAATTACAACGTTTAACAGGCATTTGGATAAGTACATGCATAGGAAAGGTTTGGGCCAGGAGCAAGCAGGTGGGACTAGTTTAGTTTGGGATTATGTTTGGCATGAAGGGTTGGACTGAAGGATCTATTTCCATGCTATATGACTCTATGACTCCATGTAAATCTAATATACTTTGTGAATTTGCTTTATGATAAAGAAAAGCACATTTCATCCTGTTTTCCATACTTGAGGTTCATTTCTCCAACTGCATCACCACTTTCATTCTTGCAGTTTACTACAGTGTCAACCCATGAATCAGTTGCCAATATTGCAGATATTAGCACGCAAGTTCCCAAACTGACAGGAAATCCTGCGAGAAACATTAACTTCTTCCTTAGAGATGGCATTTTCTTGAGCTATTATTGCCTAAGTTACATACAAAATAATTGTAAATCAAAATGTGTTTAAATTTAAATGTCTTCTATCACAATTTTTCGCGAAACAAAATCAACCTCAGTTTCTACTGTCTGACTAGGCAGTTGGCTTGCCCCGTGAATGTTGCACTTATCCGGAAATGGTGAAAAAGATGGACCTTGTATCGAGAGTGACAGCAATAAAGTGCCATAATTATTGAACCTTGCCCAGGAGTAAATGGTTACCATAGTTTTGTTTGATATAAGTGAAATACAGAAGAGAAACACTTTTATGCTATGCATGTTTTTTTTAATCAAGACTGTTCATGAACTAAAAAAATCATTTAGATTTTGCATTCTTCCCTGTTCACACACAGTTTATGGTTAATCAATAGAACCTCACTGGAAATTTCAACAGAAATCTTTTGAAATAACTGTAAATAACTAATTGAAAGGAGCAACACTAACCTACTGTAATTAAAGCTTAAACAATTCAAAAAAACTTAAATCTAATCATAATGATGGAATCCAGTCACCCGTTTTCAACCTTCTCAGGTGCCCACCAGTTAAAGAGACCTCCAGGGTTCAGGTGGACACTGCGTGCTTCTATTCCAGGAAGACCCAGGCAGAGAGGTAGCCAGAAACAGAAGCATGATGTCAGGTTGAATGACCCCCTCAATCACCGGCTGCCTGGAGCATTCCTAAAGATGGCATGCTAGTTCAGTGGTTAGCACTGCTGCCTCACAGCACCAGGAAACCGGGTTAAATTCCAGCCTTGGGTGACTGTCTGTGTTGAGTTTGCACTGTTTGCATGAATTTCCCTCCACGTGTTCTGGTTTCCTCCCACGGTCCAAAGATGTGCAGATTAGGTGGACTGGCCATGTTAAATTGACCATGGTGTCCAGGGATGTGCAGGCTAGATGTTACCTTGGAAAATGACAGGAAAAAATGAGCAAAGCAAATTTTAGTACTTGTTTACAACTTGATGAAGTTCTCACATCATCAGAGTATTTTGCGATCTCAGTATAATCTAGTCATAATGAACTGGCACAGAATAGATATAAGGCTCCTCCTAGGATTTTTCAGGCTGCTCTTTCATTGCAGAGATTTTCTATTAGTGTAGGTAACTGAAAAACTGCCCTTTAAGTTATCAGTTACTTTTGGAGGTTAAAGAGCTGGTAATGGAAATTCACACTTAGGTGCAAAAGTGAAGGTTCAATCTTTTTCTAGTTTTCTCTTTGTGTATGTCAGCTAAAAATTAAGTTAATTGCATCACTGACAGAAGTTGGAAGCATGTGGAAATTGTACAAATGGTGGGACTAGCCTTCATACATTTATTTCATTCTGTAAAAACTGTATCATACTACGTTTTGAAACCTATCCTAAACTATTCCAGGAGGTTGCCTTATCCCACTTGTTAATGGAAATGGTGATAGCTTTCAAACTGTCGAGAAAACATCTTCAGGTAGCTCCTATTATACAGTTATCAACAGGACAGCTCATAAAGAGAGATCATTTAAAATGTAGACAATTCAGTTAACAATACAACATGTATAGGAACTCACAATTCTTGTTAATGACAGCATTTCAGCTCCTCCTAGTGGTTCTATTAACTATTCTCAATCAGAAACAGCCTCAAGGGAAATTGAAAATGAAACTAAACATCAGAGTGTAAAACAAGCAATGATAGGGATTGGACAACCTGATGGATTAACACTGCTCTTTTCCTCAAGACCATGAATTCAAATTCCATCTGGGTTGTTGGATGGAAGTTCTCTTCCTGTTCTGGTTGTTTGTACAAAAATGGCATTCCCAGTGAAACATTCTGTAAAACAAATTTATCACTTGGCATGAAATGGCACAAAATATGTCATTAATGATTTATAAAGTTCAAATATGATCTCTTTGCTTTTATATTCTTCATCTCCATTTACAAATCCGCTTACTCATGTGCCGACAGGTCTGGGAGCATCTGTGGAGAGAAATCAGAGTTAACATTTTGGTTTGAGTGACCCTTCCACAGACCCAAAACATTAACTATGATTTCTCTCCACAGATGCTGCCAGGCCTGCTGAGCTTTACCAGCAATTTTGGTTTCTGTTCCTGATTTACAGCATCCGCAATTCTTTCGGCTCTTACTCATATGCCATTTCAGCCAGATTATCAATTGGTCTTGTAACATTAGAATTTGGATAAAAACCCTTTCTGCTCACCAACTCTTTTCAAAATTATGCCATTTATAGTGTACTGTCTTTACATATTAAATTCTTCCAAAATGCACCATCTCCCATTTCTCCACAATGAATTCCATCAGTCGTGTTTCTGCCCTGCCTGTTTCACCATCTATATTAGACTGAAGCCCATAACTCTTCTGATCACTGTTTGCAAAATTTCAGCAAAATCTGAAAACTTCCTAATACTGCCCCCTACATAAGCTAGGTCCTTACGATAATTGTTTAGAATACTAGATCCAAAATTAATCCTTGATCATTGACTCACAATACCTCCATGTCTGAAATACGATCTTCCAACAATGCACTCTGCTCCCTTTCACTGAGCCAATTTTGTGTCCACACCATCACTACCTTTAATTCCATGACCTTCAATCAACTTAAGAAGCGTGGCACTTTGTCAAATGCCTTTCAAATATCCATATACACAACTTTTTTTTGAACTAATTTGACAAACATTCTATATTACTTCAGTCAAGAGTTCAACTAACTTAGTCAGACACAATTTGTTTAATAAATCCAGGCTGACTCTCCTTGATTCACCCTTTCCAAAAGAAAGGGGGTGGCACGGTGGCTCAGTGGTTAGCACTGCTGCCTCACAGCACCAGGGACCCAGTTCCAATCCCGCCCTCAGGCAACTGTTTGTGTGGAGTTTGCACATTCTCCCCATGTCTGTGTGGGTTTCCTCCCACAGTCCAAAGATGTTCAGATTAGGTGGATTAGCCATGCTAAATTTCTCACTGTGTTCAGGAATGTGTAGATCAGGTGGATGGGTCTGGGTGGGATGCTCTGAGGTTCAGTGTGGATTTGTTGGGCCAAAGGGTCTGTTTCCACACTGTAAGGATTCTAGAAAAAAAAAGTTTATTTATCCTTGGTAATGGTTTCCCAAACTTCTCAACCACTGATGTTGGCTTGACTGGCATTTAGTTCCCTAGTTTATCCTCCTCTCCTTTCTTTAATTGTGGTATAACATTCACAATCTGCCAGGCATCCAGCATTACCCCGTGTCCATTGACATTGAAAGGTTGTGACTAAAGTCTTTCTACTGGAGATATACTGTAGGTTCTTTGACACACAAAATAGAAGTTCCTCTTGTTCCCTACTCCGACTACAATCTTGACCCAGATTTTTTAGGAAAATCAATGTTTCCTGATATTACTATTCTATGTTTCGTGCACCTTTGCCTGCAAATTTCCTCACTTTTTTTTATCACTGTTTGGAGTTCCATCAAAATCTTTCAGCAACTCCTTCTCTGTTCTTCGACCCAAGTCACACAGATTCACTCTTAGAAGCATTTACTGTACACTTTTTAATTAGAACCAGTTCTAACAAAGGGTCACTTGACCCGAAATGTTAACTGTGATTTCTCTCCACAGATGCTGCCAGACCTGCTGAGCTTTTCGAGCAATTTCTACTTTTGTCCCTGACAAAGAGTCACTGGACTGAAAACATTAACTCCGTTTCTCACTCTACAGATGCTGCCAGAACTCCTGAGTTTCTCCAGCACTTTCTGCTTTGCCTCAAATCGCCTCAATGTTTGATCAAACCCCTTGGCTCCAACCCCATGATTCTCCCCAGATCAGACCAGACCTGACTGGACCCCACCACCTTTGAATCTCCGACATTCACCATCACCCCCACCCTGGATTCTCCTCTAACGTCACCAACTAGACCCTATGACCCAACATGCAGGCAACCGTTCACCCCCTCACAAAAGACGTCTGGCCTAACATGACTAGTCTGTAACTGGACAATCCCTCCCAACCCAACATAACTATTCATCTATTCACCTGCCACCCCACGTACTGACCATTCTTTTCTCCTACCACCCTGTCTACCCATCTACCAGCATGCCACCCTACTCCTCTGCCATCCTTCCTCCCTAACCATACAATGCAGAGAGAGGAAGACCAGGCAGTTTGAGCACTAGGGGAAAGGAATTTTGCAGATCCAGAGACCAGAGCTTAAAACATGACATCAGGAATTAAAAAGCGGAGATGGCATAGAGGGAGAATATTGACTGGCCATTTGTGAAGCATTCTTCAGCCTGCAGTGTGGCATTGAGGCTCTGTCAATCTTACAAGCCTTGTTTGATGTGAAGCACCCTATCCACTTCAATGCCAATAAACAACAGGCAGCAGGATTGTGGGATCCTGGGGAAGTTAGTTAATACGTGTGCACTAGTCCCCATCTGTGCAGCACAGCCTGATCTCAAATCATCTTGGCTCCGCTTGCATTGGGCAAAGAACTTGCCCTGCCAATTCCTTGAGGTAGCTGGTTTACCATTGTCACCACACATTAAAAGAACACATGCACAAGGGTCTACCCACCCCTCACTGTGAAGTTATGGAACTGAAACATTAGGAACTTCATGGACAACTCCTGTGGCGACAGACCTGAATGTCACATCACTATCATAGCCTGGGAACTCCTTGTATCGACATCAACAATGCTGTTCTAAGTGAGACATGGTGGGCAGGAGAAGGTCAGCTCAGAGCACAAGGACACAACTTTTTCTGGAAAGGTAAGGCACACATTAGAACCCTCACTGGTTTTTCAATATTATACGCGGTTTTGGGCTCCATATCTCAGGAAAGATACTTTGGCCCTGGAGCAGGTTTAGAGGAGGTTCACAAGAATGGTTCCAGAACAATTCTCCTCCAGCCTTGATCAGTTATTGTCTCCTGTAATCCAAAGGAAGACAAACTAATTCTCTTTGGTGATTTCAGTCCCAGATTTTGGAGTGACACAGACTCTGGACAG